GAATCAGAGGAATACTCCCACTGGTGAAATGACCGGGACGCAGACGCTGTCTAGCGTCACCCGATATTTTCTTCGAATTAACTGCAGCACGCGTATTCTATCGCTACTGCTGCTGCTGCTACTATTACCATCATCACTTCGTAAAACGTACTCATCGGTACTCAACGAGGCGGTAATGGGCACAGCGACAGCTGGTTGGGCGTATACTCCTGTTGATACTGAAGTAACACTAAAGGCCGAAGGTCTTTACTGACAAAGGGCTGTTGATTTCGTCTGTTTAGCTCGTCTTCATGAGAAGTTTGGTACGTATCCGCCAATAACGAAGCTTTAAGTTACGTCTTTTTCGAACTGCTGCAGCTGCCGATGGCTAGGCGTCGATCGTTCAATATTTTTTCTACAGATTTCTTTCTTCAGCTTGCATCGCTTCCATTGCCCTCAGCACCTCGTAAGTGCATTTTTGTGGTTCACTGCGATTGACGACATGAGACGTTGATAACAACTTTTGCTTGTCATCTCATGTCCCTGTAGGTACAAGTTACACTGGTTTGCACCTTGTGAGTGTGCAAGTAAATGAGGCTGCGCCGGTAGAAAACGCAATATTTTATGAAATATACTTATTTAGATAGAATCTTGTTTGAAATTGATTGTGTCTCTTCTGCCTTATAAAGGCTTTTGGTAGCCCAGGGAGTAACCGATGGCCGAAGTTAGTCCTGATGGCCTAATACTATGATGTTTGTAGCGACTGTTGGCCTCCTAATTTGATCCTTACGTGAGACTGTGGTGAACTGCGACGTCGAGTCAGTTTGTTGATAACAGGAACCACTGACTAACGGTTGACCATTGCACTGCTTTCTGTTTTTGGTCTGTCCACAGTTTTCTCTTTTTCTTTTTCCCGAAAAAAAACCGTTCCATCGAGGCCGAAGCGAATCTATGCAATTTCTGCTTCTTTTTCTTATCCTATATATACATTTGTTCGAATAAACGGACATAATAGCTGACTTTTGCCTGATCTGACGGCCAAGTTTCTCCATTGATTTCCATGGTAAATCTTATGCCTCTGCTTCATGTTCATCCTGTTAAGTTGCCGACAGCACGACTACAATAAAAAAGAAAGAAAGAGGAAAGCTAAAAAAAACAGTCGTTAAATAGCTCGTAAACTTTATGGCCTGCACGCCAGCGAATAAACGCTACCAGCTGAAGCGAAAATAGCCAAAAGTCTTCACCGTGAAGGCTCTTTGACTTCTAATGAGGCGCGGCTCTTAGTTAACTACTTCGTCAACGGCCGGCGAACCGTTCTCCTAGTTAGTCACTTAATGAGTGAGCGTGTATTGTCACTGTTGTGGTAGAAAAGTGTACGGAGTTGCAATCATTCTATGTTGCTTTTTATTTATTGTTGAAACAGTTTAAATGCAATATGTAGTCTCTGGTCGTTCGTTTTAGCGACATATATGTCTCTGGGTGCGCTAAGAACATAAAGCAATACAGAGCAGGTAGGTTGTTTTGGGAAACTTGCCTTCACGATGCCTATCAAAAGTCGCATTACCCTGGGAACACCCCGTCCGTTGAGAAATTGAAGTAGTTGGTTATCTTCAACACTGATTTTATAGTAGTCTTCATTTTGTGAAATTCTCAAGATGGTGACGATTATTTGTAACCTTAACTTATTGCTGTTGTCCATCGTAAAGTTCATTATTGTTTTTGCAACATCAGTAGCGGCGGGAACGTGCAGCAGATGTAAACAGATCTTGGTGCTCGTCACACGGGGCATTCTGTTCATCTCGCAGGTATCGCATGCTGCGCTTGCCATTGCCGCTACGGCGTGAAGTATTTGTTTTGAGAAAATAGATCTTGTCAGCCGATACAAGATGTATTTTGAAACGCTCGATCGAAGAGCGAGGCTCGTAGAACTCGGCTTGCTCCGCGTACGTTCGTCAACGACACAGGCTTTTGTTGCTGCTTTTTGTAGGAGAAAGAAAATTGAAAATTCCGTCATAAGCCAAACAGTGCTATGATTAGACTGTCTGCGAGAAACCTGACTATCTCGTTAAGTACTTTATTTTTAACAGCGAAAAAAACGCAAGCATCCGTGCTTCTCTGTGCGCAAACGCTATACAGCCAACTTATTTCAGACATAATCTGTCCCTGTTCCATTATGACTAACATTGATAGGCTATCGCGATCGTTATCACCAATCTAGAAACATCAGCGGCAAACTGTGAAGCACACTGTTATCTACTTCGTGTAACGCGCGTCAGTGCGACGATTGAAGACAAATTATAGTAGCCACTATTGTCCTTATAATAATCTTATCTTGAATCTACTTGGCTTCAAATGGTTCTTAATTCTACGTTTTTTGCTGTCGTTACTTAATTATCTTGTCCATTTTTGTGAGTCTCAGCTTCAATTTCGATCCTCGCCAACGTCGCATTGTGTTTGTGCACTTCGACGGGTGCATGTGGGCCGATTTGATGCTTCCAAGCACTTCACCTTGCCGTTGCGTAAAAGTTATAACTTGTATAATGACTAGCGTAGTATAACCAATTTGACAGAACAATTGTCATCTCTTCATATACGTAGCTGTAACGCCGACCTGCTGATGAGGGAAGATCCGTTCTTTCGGAATGGCTGTCTGATGGTCTGTTAACTATCTATAGCCGACCTCTGTGGGTGTTAATCAAGCCTACGAAAACTGCCAGAACGAGACATGACGTCGCGATCGGAAAGGCTGGCCTGCCCACGACTGTCGTCTTGTTACAATTTTAACTGGCGACGCACGTCGAGGACCTACGCCTGTTTACCCTAGCAGAGCTTGTTGGCGCGCTTTGGGGGAACATACGTTATTACTTGATGGCCATTTCAGTCACCAGCGTCGTTGAAGGGTCTTGTTATGATTTCTGATCGTCGATCCGCTACGGACGACGATGGCGGTACTACTGTAATAACGCCCATCATTCCGCGACTCCAAACGCAAACACAAAAACTGAGGCTTACTGCTTTCTTTCCTCCCAGAGAGCGGCTGAATCTTAGGTTCTTGCGTTTATGTTCGATCGTCCTCAGCAACAGCAGCGATGGCGGCTGAAGTAGCTTATTCGCCCGTCTTTTTATCAGAATCTGCGGTGCGGTTCCTGCTGGGAGGCCCCCTACCAGTTCGACTTCGCCAAATGGCGACGGATCTCCGCCACATAAACAATTCCATCTCCTGCCTTCCTCCTGTATTTGTTTAGCGTCCACAGGATATGTCTGTGCACGTATGTATATAGCGTTTCTATGGGCAGTAGGGCCACAGCCCTGAGGATGACGCTAGAGGGGAAGAAGAACTTCAGATGATTATTTGTTGTTGACGCGCACAAACATGTTTCTGTCGTCCTTGTTGAACGTTGCTGTTGCTACTCTCGATGTTCTACAATCGATGGCGACTCAGACTGGTGTTGGGCAATTATCGCCGCGACCACTTAAATCGTCGTCCTCGTCTCCCGGTTTAAGTTTCTGAGTGACTCAGGCAGATTGCAGTAGTTTGGTACTGATGTTTGTAGGCTTGGTTTTTTTTTGCAAACAAACACGAAGAGAAGCTATTTGATGCGTTCCGCAATCGTAGTCGTCGTTGTTGCCACCGTTGCCGTTGTGCGAGGCTGCGTCGTTGTCGAAATGTGAGAGTGAGTATCTGCAAAGAAATAGTGCGGCGAGACGCCATTGTCGATAACAACGAGGTTTCACCGAGGATAAGCTCTGATCACTTAGAACAAGATCTGATCGACTGATCTCGTTTATCGTTGTGTCGATTTATTAATTCGGATCCGTTTGGAGTGATGGCCGTTTGCCGTGTCATGTCCGTCATACTACTTGGCCTGCTTTCCGCACCAGTTTGACTAAAGCTCGAAGTATTTTTCACGCATACACATTTATATTATATACAAAATCGAAAGAAAAGAGTAATTTATCGTCTATGGCTAACGGGAGAGGAGAGGCAGGTGCGTCTACAAGCGGCCTATTCCTGTTGTTGCTGCTACCGCTATTACTTCTGCCGCCTCACTTTAGACCAATATCTTGACATAGATTTCTTCCCGAACGTAGAAGCTATTGCGCCATTGCTCGACTACCGACTTGCCTAAAGATGACACTGACTCAAGCCGAATGGTAAGGTACCTGGGTGGGTAGCTCAAGGAGGAAAGCCCACATCTGTCAGGACGGTGGCGCTGCCATCGTAGTGACAACCACCGTTCGCGTCACTATTACAGTAATAGTGTTCTATGTCCACGACCACGTTTTGAAACATTTGGATCGCGGTTGTGGAGGGAGCTCGATGGGGCGCCCGCCTGCCTCGTTGAGATAACGTCACGTTTGCCTGATGGATGAACGCAGTAGCCGAGAGTCAGTCAGCCAGTCAACCTGGCACGATCTTAATTATTGTATAAATATTTATCTGGCGAGGTTATGTAACATGAGGCCCGGTTCAATTACCGTCAAGCCAGTAAACCATTAAGACGATGAAAGGAAAAACAAGCAGGCGTGTTATATTATGCCTTTGAAGCTTAATAATACGTAGTTGTATGTATGCATCAAACGAGGAGAACTTCTCAATTTTCTAAAATACACGCGATCGTCAATGACTAGTTAGTCAAAACATCGTGTACAGATATCCGTATCAATCATCACTTGGACTAATTAGATACCCTTGGGAAGATCGCTTTTCTGTGTTAAACCGTTTGAGCTGCGACATAATGATCAGGTCGATCAGTTGTAACAAACTATAGTTGAAACTAAGAACGAATCAAAATCGGATATACTTAAGATTATGTCTTTTTTGGTGATTCGTCGCGAAAATGTTAGAGGTTCATCTCTAAAACTTCCTTTTTATTGTCCAGGATGTTAAGGTTTGGGTGCGTTGAGACAACGTTATTAAGACACTGCCAGCAGAGTGGACAACTACCGCCCAGATACTTGTATGGAAATAGATTTCACCACTAGTTAGATGCGTATGTCTTGAATACTAATGTCTTTTATCGATATAGCCAGGCAAAAAATAGTTTCGGCGCCCCATAAGGTGGAACTGCTTGCGTCTAAAAGACAGAACATCTAGCTATCTATTAGTATAGCAGTCCTATCTTGATACACAGCATAGCATAATACTGATCCTGTTTAACAACAGTGTCAATTTTATACATTGTTCTGTGTTAATTATTAAACAGTCACACATTTTTACTATAGTTTTTATATCCGGTTACTTTTACTCGTCAGGTTGTTCCATCAATCCAACGGACCTTGAAATATAATAACTTTTGAATTAGACAAAAGTTAGTCGGAAAGTACTTCAATCTTCTGAAAACTTATAGGTGAAACCTGGCTGAATGTTCTTCAAAACAAATTAGTTCAAAAAAAAAACATTTTCTACTCTTGAAAAACGTCACTCAGTAATCAAGTTTTTGTCACTCAAAGGCCGATGAGCTACGAAAATTTGTCCGACAGTGATGTAAATAATAGTAATAACTAGCGAGAACTTGAAATCTCAGAGCTCTCTCAGGTTAAATTGCCATTTCACGTATAGAGTATTACAGAAATATAAGCTAAATATTGAAAATGCATAAACTGAGTAGGAGAATTAGCCCCCTGTGAAGTGGCTTAAAAGGCCAGCCGGAAGTACGTGTAGTGTACCCCCATGCGCAATTTTAATCGACAGAAAACACATTTGCCACCATAAACGAGGTATATTTCAATTTTTATCGCCAGCCTGAGAAAAACAGGCCAGCCTGTTTTTGGCATTGGCCTGAGAAAGATTGCCGCTGAAATCGGAAGCATCTACTGCTATAAAATACTCGCAGAAAATTAGATAGTTAATGCAGCTTGCTCTTTTGAATTGCTCAAAAGACTCATGAGTTGCTGGCATGCAGCCTGATTCCTCGATGACAATGTCAGACCTCATCGCCATATCTAGACTGAACGGAGAAATATCCAACATTGGGTTCAGCCCATTTGTTCCCGATTCAAATCCGTGCGATGCCTTAAAAGGGGGCGATTACTAAACAAGCATACCCCACTCTTGGTTTACTTCGAAAAGCCGCTGACAGAGAGATTAGATATGGAAATATGAATATGGCCTGCTAGCGCGCTGAAGCAAGTAGGTAAGCAATCAAGGAGAGCACCTGCCACACATATTATGAAGTCGCATTTCTAATCCAATAATACAATGATTTGCTTTACTATAAGACTACATCAATTTGTATGTGCCTGATTCGACAGTCTACCAAACTGTGACCCTGAATAAATTTGACCATTAAAATGGTAAAAAAAAAAAGGTAAGCAACGTCAATTAAACCTATGATAGGACCGGCCTGTCTGCTTGCAACCTAGCAGCAGTAAGTGCCATTTTTAGCGAGTATAACGAAGTCTCAGCCTATAGCTGCTAGCATCATTGTCTTATCTTATTTTGTTCTGTGTTCTTTGTGCACTTTATAGAAAATGGCAAGAACAGTCTCAATCTATCTTGTAAGTTATTACCGTACTAGCACCTGTTCCATCTAATTGTCGCACTTCGGCAAAACAGCAACAGAAGTAGCGGTGCCTTATTATTTCGAAATAATTTTTCGAAGCAATGAAGGTCAAGGATCACTACGACACTCTTAGTTCGTAGTAAAAAAAAAAGTACTTCCGAAGCAGTAAAGTTATCTTTTCTGGCATCGAGAAGATCGTTTTGTAATTTGGTAAACCCCTATTTATCCAAAGGTAAGCGGTGCAAAGGGCACCAGTACTAAATGAACTTCATATCTACATCGATATTTCAAATGAATAGGGTTATAGCAACATAAGAAGTGTAAAAATTACCACTACGACTCGTATTGCGAAAGGACGTCGTAGCATAGCGTGTGTGTTGATTTAAGCAGGCAGGTGTCATTAAGGATCGTCGAAATTTAGCTGGCTTCACCTGCTAGATCTGTTTTTGGACAGAACCAGGGTGGAAACGCTTAAATTTAGCATATATGCCCCGTAGGGATATCTACCCTTATGACTACTGGTAAAAACCCGATCTACGGTAGCAGACGCTTTTAGTATTACAATCGTTTATTAAATTAACTGGATTAGTTGCGTACTGATAATTATTTCATAGGAACACTGAACACTACGTTCACTTGCTAGGCTATTCAATGCAGGTTAACAAGAGATGATGAAAGTTAACGTTTGCAGCAGTAACTTGGTATGTTTTAACTAACTTTGGGAAAAAAATAACGCTCGAATTACTCAACCGCAACGAGAATGCTCGATATATGAAAATTCTGCGAGAACCCATTTGTCGATCATTGTAGTATAATCCATATTTTTGAGGGACAACTCTACCAATTGTACGGGCGACGGTAGCGTAAGTCGCCCGAACCAAATAAAATATAAAGATATATAATAAATATAAAAATACGCCAGCTTATGTATAATAGATATATATCAACGCTTGCACTAGCAGTAATAAAAAGTGTAATAATCGATAAGATTAATCTTAATACATGCGAGGTGTTTCCTATTTAAATAAGAAGTATAGTTTTTTTTTCCATTGCAGTGCATCTGCGCGCTTACTAGCTCAATTTAATGTTCTATTTTGATGTAGAAAGCAATTACCCGTTACATTAAGACTTTGTATATAATCATCTTTTCCTCGGACATCTTGTAGTATAGTTTTGTCTTTCTTTCCCTTTCTATATATGTATATATATATATATATATCTGTTACAAGGAAAGGTGTATCAAGTGCGAGGCCACGAAGTGTACAATACCAGTCTCTAAGGAGAACTTGCAAAATATTCGCATCCTATTCGGTTCAATTGAGATTATCTAAGCGTATAGATATTAGGTATTAGATATTTCTGTGTGTGCTAATAGGTAACGGATTGAAATTAAGCGTAGGTTTACTTCAGTGACACCTTTAGCTTGTTCTTATGTGCATTGTCGAGAAGGAACTATTTGGTACCACAAGGCATCTCATTTAATGTTCCTAGTTTCTAGATGTTTCTATGGTTTAGAGATGAGGAAAGTCGCTTCATAAGGTATCAGCTGCTACTTGTTGGAGAAAGCCCTCAGTGTACCCGGATCAGACCACCAAGGCGGCGTAAGACCTGACGAAGAGGTCACGAAACATCTTCATTGCGAATACATTGTTTCTTTGTTGCCTCATATAGCAGTATCGTTTACTCCTACCCAAGTTCGGAGAGCCAGCCGAGGACTTCGTGCGCACGATCGTAGTAGCATCGATGGACGAAGCAGCTTCAAGGAGAAATTAACGACTGAACGGGTATTAACGAAAATGTGAACTTGTGAAGGATACACATGAAAAGAGAATTGCCGCCACGAGCGAAGATCTGGCCGCCGGCTGACTAGCCATCTCTATTCCGTACAGATCAAATCCACCGCTTTTATTGAAGTATCTGTGCATGAGTACTTTAGTTGGCCAATGCCTCGCTGGCTTCGATTTTGACTTGACGTAAGGGAACGTAGAAAACTATCAGTTTGTACACAAATGTGGACTTAATTTATTCTTTGTGTGGAAATAGCGCGGTCCTTATGACACTTGCTCCAAAGTTTGCTGGCTCAGAGACATAGAAGTTGGCGTCGGGGGCAAGAAGCACCGATTCCGGCACTTCATTGCTGTTTATTCTAGTTGCTAGTCTAAAAAGAGATTAATAGTAGTGTTACTGTATCGTAACTTACCGTCTGCATCGATCGACCAAAAGCTAATATAGTTCAAGTTATCCAATAGCGGAAAACTACAACTATACTTGTTCCCGTCAACGAAACGCTGTTCTTCCTTGATATCTTATATTCGTGAAACCATACATATTTCAGTTAAACTCAAAGGGCTTGCATGTAAAAGGGCCTAGGCTTACTTGTGCTATTTAGTTATCAGATTCAAGCGTTTTCCTTTTTTCTAATTAGAGCTTAAAACTAATTAAAATCACATATCTAATTTTTCCATATTCTTTCCAATAATTTTTGCTCATTTTTTGATAAAGGGTTTTAGTTGGATTATATCTTTATGACCTAGTACCTAATATTGCCTTTCTTATCGTAGGCGTAATTTTCTGTACTGATCTTTCTTTCTTTCTTTCTGCTGCTTTGCACGGCTGTTTGTGATCACCAGGAAAGGGTATGATTTACATAAAATGGGACGACACTCTTATTTACCAGTTAAATAGATACCATAGAAAATGAGAGATGTCGAGAGGCAGAGATCGTGTCGAGGAGGCAAGATCGTTGCGGTAAGCCTGACTGCTTATACTTCGCCTATAGAATGAAGTAGCTTAAATGTAATTAGAAAAAAAAAAGAAAGACTTGTAAACTGCAAATATTTTTCATGCATAATATTTATTATATCACATATAAAATGACGATTTGGAACTTGTTTATTTCCGCTCTCCACATTTGTTCGTCTCTCGTTATGTGAAGCCGCTAAGGTCGTTTGTTCAGTCAAAAAAAAGAAATAAACGTTACAATCTAAATACGTCGTTCATCATGTTGAATCTCAATTATATACATCGTGTATAGCACGTGCATAGAATTATTCATAAGCTAAGTACGGAGCTGAGGATTGCATGCGATATACCATATTTAGTCGTTTAGCGTGCCTGTGTATGTATCAGTTCTGGTCTATGACTGCATTCGGCCTGCGGCTGAGAGATTTGCTCATTCGAGCCAGACTTAAGGGAACTGTATATAAACGTTAGTTCCTTGTTGTAGGTAGGATTTGCATAGATGCTAGAAATTATAGGGTTTTGCCAACATGTAAGACACGGATTGATGCCCGTTCTCTCAAAAGCGGGATGTAATAGAGCGTATCTATCTACTACAAGAACCTATATAAGACTAAAAAACGATACTGAGAGCATATTCTGGCGTACATGGCACCTATGCAGGTGATATCCACGACAATCCGATTGAGTCAAACGTGTAAAACGAACGAACGAACGAAGGAAGGATGCAATATCTTAGTCAGCGCATCGATGGCCTCCCTTTTCGGATGCTTCATCGCGATGTTTCCGACTATAACTATGTATATTTGCTTTATAGCAATTTTCCTACCACAAAAACAGCGTTTGTCTTTGCTGTTTAGATCGAGGCATGTGCTAAGCGGCACCTGTATACGTGTACCTTTTGTCTTTATCGCTCGTGGGTTTTTTTTTTTGTATAACAGGGACAAATGCAGCAATGACCCGTGCAGCGGTTCCGCTGCACGCATACTTACACATCTATTGCAGAGAAGTTTGTTGGTTTTTCAGAGAGGATCTAATCACGATTTTTAGAATTATAATCATCTATAGCCATCCAGAGAGCGAACAGCCAAAGATCGTGCGACTATTGCCGTCAGCTCCGTTCATTTGGCTACATCTAGCTTCGTTCTTATGCTGTAGACTGCGGAAAACGCCTATGATGTTTAATCAAGCTTTAGAGGAGACCTAAGTAAATAAAAATCTTATGCAGTGAATAAAAAATAAAAATCAAGATGTCTACGCTTCGATACGACGAAAATGTTCTGGAAGGAGCAGCAGTAGAAGCCCTTCATACGGCCATTGTTGCCTCATGTTAGGCGAACACTGTACAGGATTACGTTATCTTAGAGCTCTTTTTGACACGGGTAACTGCCAGGTGTTTTCGGCCTTAAATGTCCATTGAATTCATCGACAACGCCAGTGTCTTCTCGGAGTCTCCGCGCTTCATGGGTCATCATGTCTGCAGCATCGGTATACTGCGTTTGCTAGACGCAAACACCGTTATTTTATCGTTAATCTGTAAACTGACAGTCAACATTGCACGACACAGTGGAAGAACCCCAAGCTTCAGATGCATACTTGTACGATGAGCATCGGGCTGAAAAAAGATGAACGCTGCAGAGTATTGAATTAATGAAGACTTTGTCGTTCTCGTTTAGGTTTTTGTTTAGGTGCGATCAGTGGATACTGGACAGCTCTAATTAGTTGTTTGCTTTGTCTCTGACCATTGGTCTCACATGATTGTTTTATGGAACGCATTAGAACTCTGTGAATATCATGCTATCCATACACATCGTTCATCAGCTATGCGTATTTAAAGGATGCTTGCTATCAGCCAGAATAACTGTTCAAAATATTTATACCCATTTTATTATTTTAGGTTATTAGGTATCTTTTTTATTTTGAAGTTGGGTTCGTCCTTTGACGCAGAACCTGCGTGGATTACCACAACAATAATAGGTACAGTTTCCCTTTAAGAAATTTTTGGTAGGCAGAGGCAAGCTGCTCACGTCGGTTTTCAATCCCTGATATTGATACGCTCCGTTCGGAGATACTTAGATCAGTAGTGCCTTTCAAGTGAATTAGTCTGGGCGAATGAAGATGTCGGCCCAGTTACAGCATTATCAATGCAGTCTGCCTCTGCGAATATGTATTGATGGGTCTGTGTGTCTATTAAAGGCTACCGTTCAGCTTTGCGCGTGTGTGTGCCTTTATGTGCACTCGATACATTCAAAGTTACGATTTCAAATGTATCTTTGGTCTAGATGATGTTCGCGATACGCTCCCTACATATGTGTAGACAGACTTCTACACGCATACGGGTCGGTAGCCATTTGCTCTGCCCAATCGGTGTTCTTGATGCTCAGAAGTGGTCCCATATATCTGTTGTATACTAGATATTGTTGTCGTAATTATTTCAGGGCGACAGCATACGCGCGCCTCTGTTCTCGGTTGGAGCTCATTGTGTGACAGTTATGTGTTGTTCCCCGCACACAGGCCATTTGCGCCTGACCTCGGCCGATTTGGCCCGACTGAATGAGGATCGCCCTCGAGTGCCATATGGCCGCCCATCAACCAGGCGCCCTGCCGCCCACCAAAGGCGCAAGCTGATAACTTCAATGAGAAGAGAAGTCCGCTCTTGTCCTTGTGGTCTTCTCTGCTTGAAACCCCTCGAAAGTCATGTTTTTCGAAAACAGATAGGCAGACTGAACGCAGAAAAGATTGGCTTCATTATAAATCTAACATGAAACCATGTGCGAAGTGAAACGCGACTTCGGCGGCATTTTGGTCAATTTCATTTATTATTGAAGCATTCATCTATTGGACTCGGATTGCTTTGTCTGTCAGATTTAGCAAACGTCAATTGGTTTCGAGCGTGAGCAAATGTCTTGGGTCCGGATTCTTACTCAAGGATGTAGTACGAAGTTCAATATAATATCGACAGAGAAAACGTATTACAGGCTTCATCCACTAGATCATAGTATCACTGTCACATTCACCGGAATCAGTGCACGGCATCGTGGGCAAATGTGTTGAAACTGCAGCGAATAGCAATATCAGAAAGTTAACGAAGAAATCTACATGTCCAATAAAACCGTTTCTCTTAGCCAATTGACATGAAGATAACCAATCATCGAACATAGGAGAAATATAAAAGTTCCATTTGCCCATCCAACATTAAAATCGACTCCACGCTCAAAATGAAATTTGTTCCCGTTTTGTGGAGAGGCAGCATGAAAACAGGAAAGGATTATAAGAAGGATTGCTGTAAATTTTATCGATGCTTCAAACTATATATAAAAAAGCTAAGTATGTATATTTGCGTTACAGATATTGCTGAAACTTAACCTATACGTGGCAGCCTGAACATGACCTGGCGCTAATACTGTGATCGATTCTAGTTTTTATGAACTTCACAGATGAACTTTTTCCCATAACACGAAAGTGTTCTTCTTCGCTATGCAATGGGCTCATTCTCTTACTGTGTCCTGTGATTGATTAGGAACGAAGAAGTTCCCTCATTTAAGACGTAGGCGAGAATTCCTTTCAGCGACCTGCCCGCATTCGGCTGGCATCGGTTCCGAGTAGAGCAGCGCGCACGCCAAGTCGCTAAAAGCAACAGGTCGCCTATAGGTCCGCACAGAAGATTTTATGTTGTGTTTAAAGCTTCCAAGCATTTTGACACCTTCGAGTAATGGCTACGGTACTCAGATCGAGTCACCTCAGAATTCCCCGTATTCATATGGATGAACACTTGGTTCGACCTTCATATCGTCACACAATTGACACAATAGGCCCATGTTTTGAATTCTCGCCATCATCAATTTGATTGAGAAACTAAATCCTTGTAGCCCTTCTAACGAGGCACTTCCTGGCCAACGGTTGGCCGTCTGCTTTCGCAACATCCGAAAATTCCCATTCTAAGTTTTTTTCTTCAGCTTATGACAATAGAAAAGTGGCGCCCTGAAAACAAATAGCCAAACGAGACAATCAACTGTATTCGTTTCTTTTAGCCACTTCTTCACTTTCAGTGAGTGGCCAAATAGCTAAAGTCATCGCAACAAGTAACATGCCCATACATTTGAGTAGCGAAATAATCCACATTTTAATAAGCCAGCCGTACAACGGAAAATGTAGAAATCAACCCACATCATACGTATACCCAGTGGATGAAGACAAACCACATCTATGTACATGTGAACAGGGGCCAAACTGGCTGAATTCAAAAGGGGTAAATCAGACCACAGCTGTACATAAACGAATTTCGCTAACTGCAACTGTTCTATGGGCAGAGTAGTACGCCGAACGCGATTTTTCAATTGGCAAACGCCTTGACAAACGCACGACAGCCTTTTGACACTTCTGCACCTTTACCATTGAAAGTAGAGTTATTTAAGGATACAAATTTATATTTGGGACACTTCATCAATAAGTAGAAGAATAGTAGAATACGTGTATCGCCTAAATCGGGCTGGACGTGTTATATTACAATGTGATATTTGTTTATCTTGAAGCAGTAACGATCAATAGGATAGTTTTTACCACACTTGGCTATTCGTTTTTGCCAGTCTGCTCGAGCCTTCGACATATATAAAGAAGTGTGCTTCCAAGCCAAGTCGGTTGCTGAAAAGCGGCAATTGCCGTAATCCGTCCATTCTTCACATTCATCTTACCTTCGTTATTGAACTTAAGGTGCTATTATACGTAGGGAAAAAACAAAAAATAATGGCTGGTCGCTCCATCGTTCCCATGATAATTGTAGCGCGATGGGTGTAGATTGGACAAAGTCGAACCAGTTATCGTTATCCCGGTATTCCTTTGCAAAGGTGCCGGTAGAAGTAAAAGCAAGAATTACCCAACGCCGATAATGATTTTCCTTCAGTGCAGTCCTACAAAAAAATGACGACCAGATAGAAAAAATGTTGATGCTAGAGAGAGAGAGAGAGAGAGAGAGAGAGAGAAAGAGAGAGCGAAGAGAGGGGGAGAGAGGGAGAGATGCCGGGCGGCGCCCCCATACGGAACGTCATTATCGTGCACGTCGATCTCTCTTCATTGTACGTATTCACGACTCACGATGACTTCGAACTCTCTATTCATGGCCTTGTCGCCGCAGTGATCGTTGCTGTCGGCAATGGCGAACAGATATCGAATGCCTTGGCCATCAACAGGTTGCTGGGAGGTTACAGGCAAACGCGCCTTCGCTGCAGGAAGGTTTGTAGTACTTCGAGCGTTTGACAGGCAAAAAGACTACTTCAGGGTTACTGTGAGCGCTTCATGCAACTGAACTGCCCCGCCGACGGATCGGATCTGTTGCTTCTGTATACACCCTTAAAATGCTAAATGCGACAGAATCGATTTGATAGAGAGGCCTTTGAAATTTGCCGGTACCAGCAGGGGTGGACTAATATACTAATAATGGAAGGAATATTTTATTGATATTAGTTGCTGAAGAGATCAGATTGTGCTAAACCATAGACAGAACTCAATTTTATTGACCGAATGATGGGTAATTGATCGAGATGTCTGAAAGTAATTCTAAAAAAGTGCCAACAATGTTCATTGACGTAAGTTACCCATATGTGATCGCTGTCACAATCCAAACACTACGAATAAAAACTGAAGAAAGTTAAGTACAAGATAATATTATATGACTTGAAAAATGTATTTATACCACTGAGAAACAGAATGTAGTCTTGTAAATGCGCTACTGTTTATTACTTGTCAAAATCATATGAGCATATTAAGGGCACCTATACATAAGACTGTAATGAAATATATCTCATACAAAAAAAGATTTAGAAAGCAGTTTAGCCAAATACGTCATCAACAACAGATACGTTAATGCGATGACAGCCATTTTAATCGTAACGATAAGGGTATAATGCCACAAGGTAACGTTAATGCTGTATTGTCAGTAGTGTGTTGTGGCGCGAAAATTCAAACCAAGCCAGAGATTTTATACAGTCGTACAAAACCCTGTTAGTGATTGTCGCATGAAAACATGAAAAGTTTGGAATAATAATGTTTTTTTTTTCTATAGTTCTGATAACATCTGGAGAGATGAAAGCCATCAAAAACGTGAATGTTTTAACTCTAACAAGTAAACGACTGGTGTATTTTAAAGACATCTCACAGTTTAAAATTAAAAAAAAATAGGGTACATTAAAAAAAAATAGGGTAACCTTGCGACCTGTCGCAAGAACAATTAGTAGCACAACATGATGAATTACCTTCTATTTGATTATCGTTCTACATGTTATGTAGTATCTTTGTAACAATCTGTATAACCGCAATGCATCTATATTGATTTAGATACATTGACTTGATACCGTAACGTCGTTCGATACCACCTATATTTACAATATGAAAAAACAGCGTGTTTCGGTCCTTCATGTGTTAACTTAACGCCCGCCTGTCTGTTTACAATAGCTTAAAAAAAAGTATGTTGAGAAGATAAAGCAGATTTACAGTGCATTTCTGGTTATTTGACTAGCGTTTCTGCTCTTAGTTAGTGATCAACTGCATAGAGAAAAATGAATTGATACATTTAAATGCATTGAATTTTGATACTGATGCTTTGCACAAGCCTGTTCGTTTTTGTTGTGTTTCCCCTTACGATTGTTTTCGTTAATTTAAACTAAAATTTTAATAGTAATATTTTTTTTCACTTTTTAGTAAAAAAAAATTAATTAGTGTTTCTACAGTAAACTACGACAGAATGTTTCGTATATAACTTATAATCTAATTGCCATAAAGTTGGCCGACATCTTATGTATTGCGGAAAACACTCCGAGTCGTTTTCCAGCTACTGAAGCTGTTCCAGTCAAGTAAGTCAGAACTTTGACCAGAACTGATTGGGCCCTATATATTTCTATTAGTTATTTCTATTATTAACTATGTGTATTGGTTAGTCTGGTTAACGACAATATCACCATCGAAACGAAATAGCTTTTGTCTCGGCATAAGCGGATGAGATAGTTTAAAGTAGAAAGATATATCTCGCGTTAAGTCTAACCGTGATAACTTAGGTTTTTTTCAACCAAAAAAGATCTTCAAAGTTGTTAAAGATTATAGAAGGCACGAACACTGCATTACAGTATAAATTACACGACTGACATTTGCTGTAGTTCGCTTTTATTATCTAAAAATACATTATTTTGTCCCATACTGTATATACACACAATATATTAGTTATATAACATCCATCCTTTTTGTCCACGCATCTATGATTAGGTTTAATAATCTACCAGATGAACATCATACAACAATAATTTTTAACCGAATTCCTAATTATTTATAAGCTTTAAGCAAGCGTATCTAAACAAACACAAAAAATTAGCAAAATACACTCCTTTACATCATAGGCAATATCACATTATGTCTTCACATATATGGTATAGATATATACACACGAAAGTCTTTATACATAATTATTTACAGTATTTATAAGTATATTACAGTTTTTTTCATGCAAGACTTTTTTTTTATTACGATTTTTACGATCTAATACGATTTTATCGGTGCAAAGGTGCAAAAATCGGTTGCCCTCACCTCGAAGCGAGAACAGAAAATGAGACCGTACGCTCCGCTCACAATTGTCTAGGCGTTGAGATCAATGGGAGATTTCAAACGACGAGTGCAATTAATCGAAATCCTAAAACACAGGTCAGCGCACCTCGCTTATCCACGTCGACAAATCAGATCTGTACGGGAGAACAGTTGTGCGCAGCTTTTGCCCATCGTTAAAAACACGCTGATTTTTATATGTCACATAACCTACTGTCCGAAAAATGAGCGTTTCCATAGGATTCGTCTTCTATAAGACGGTCGTGTTTCTCAGCGGAACTATTACAGGAACCGTGCGTGATCAAATTGCTGATTGACGACAGCTGCTTTTTTACCGAGCTGCGTTTAAACGAAGTCGGCCTTTTAGTGCTTTCGAAGGCTGAGTTAACTGAGCGGAGCTGGCCTACTTCTAGGCTGGCGTTTCGGTCCTGGTGGCACAATTTAATGAACACAAGGGCCACGGCAATAATAAAAGCGATCGCAGCCACTCCAACAGCCAGACCTGCCAGATACTCGACGGGAATACAACCAGGGCAGCTCTCAAAGAAAGGATGTGTTCCAGATACGTCAGTGGCCGTATCGACGTAGAGAGACCTACTCTGTGCAACAGCGCGGTGCGAACTAGAAGCAAAGGCACGAACACTTATTTGGTAGATGCTGTTTGGCCAAAGTGTGATGGTGACTATATTGCCGTGGGTGTAAAGATGGCCGGTGATGTCGATCGTGTCGTTAGAATGCTTCCATTCAACTTCGTACTTAATGTCGGCTTTGTTGGAAACATGTGGCCATGTGATAATGGCATCGATCCCGCCTGGATTCGCAGTCGAGTAGCGCAGGACGTTGAGGATAGGCACCCATTGCTGGTAGTAGTCCACGTAGTCAGCGGAGTCGTCATCACTTACGCGGTGAGCTTTTTCATCGCGGCTTGCCTCGTCGCGGAACATGTCTTCTACTTTATCGATGTCCATGTTTATATCGAACTCAGCACACGACTTTTCAATCCGTGCAATTTTTCCATTAGAATCGTATGCGGTCAGACGGAGCCATGAAGAGGGTTTGAGGAGTCCGCGACGCACGGTGGCATTATGATAGACAGTCTGTTCTAGTTGCTGCCAGGTAGCGGCCACTTGATCTTGCATCATGAGCACATAGACCAGGGGGTCGACCTGATCATTGCCTTCAGGCCTAGACCACTCAAAGTGAATCGTGTCATCTTCCGGTCGGTAGCTGTACTTGAGTGGTTGCGTGAAGTGGGTATCTGTTCTGGTAGCCTCAATAATATCTGAGTGTGAGTGGTAGAAGTTACATGCCTCCTGACAGCCCGGGAACTGAAGGGAGCAAGTAAAAGACAATGTTATTAGTAATAGTACGAATGCTGATTGCAATGATGGCCTTTTACATCGGCTAACTGTACGTCACTTCGTCTAATTTTTCTTGGAGTGAATCGATTTAAACCGAAACAATCGGAATAGTTTGCGCTCTTCAAGCTGTTTTCGAATCTTCGAAATCGTTTAACGTTATCCCTCCCTGTGCAGTCGTTGTTCTGAGAAGGCACGACTGTTTTCGTGTGGATGGGGTTGCGAAGAAAAGCCACAACGTTATGGTTTCGTAAAAACGGTAGACTTAGACGGATAAAACTTGTAAAACAAATATACATAACGAGAGATGGTGTGTCTGTTGCGCCTCCTCCTGATGCTAAGCCAGTATCAGGAGAGGTCGCCAGACTGCCGTCACGAGGGGCCTCTCAGCGGGAATTTTGAATGCAGGCGATGCAACCCCCAACCTCAGTTGACCGCGATAAATAGAAAAATTCCAAACAGTGAACAACCTCACGATTGGCAGCGGCAGCTGCACCATTATCGGATTATTGTATAGCACGAGAGTAACATGACAGTTGTCTGCGTTTGGGGTCACGGAATAACAGTGACGACAGGCGTTGCCGAAGCCACGTCGGCCGATTTAGCCCTACCCATCCCTCCACTACTCCGAACAGAATCCCTAATAACAGAACAAGATCTGTCATCAAACAACAAGCAGCAGTGAAATCATCATCATCAAGCAGCAACAACAACAACGACAAAAGCAGTGGCAGCGCTAACAAAGCTAGGACGAGCCACAACGCATACAAGGATAGTAATTTTAGCACCAACCATAAATACCGCGACGACAAAAGGACGCGGTGGGATGGCAGGAAAGTAGCGATGATAATCGTGGCCAAGATACTACGCTCGTTATCCATAACAGGGAGGTCAGACTTGTTTATGAGCAACGTAGAGTGCGGTGCTGCTATGTGCGTAAGGACACCAAGAGAACAGCCGTGTCGTAGGCTGAGACCGAGCGGAGTAGGGGCCGTTAACAGCTCATCAACGGACCATGAGCGTCATCAACGGGTGCTTCAAACCAGAATCGGCTGAAGGCTACGCAAGGGCTATTTACGCCCTGAGGGAAACTTCGAAGGCAGGAAGGCTTCAAATACCAATTATCATGAAGACAGGGTGCACGGCTGAGAGAGCAACGCCGACGTTTCTATTTTTCAACAGTATGTACAAATGTAGGCTACAATGCAATCGGCATCTTTAACTGCTTCGAAACAGTAAACAGTGATTACGTTTAACTCCTTTCATGTTATAAAAGAGCCAGTAAAAAAGCTGGCAGAAAGGCGAATCAATCAGTTAGACTGCTGCCAAAGGAGACAACCGTTGCGATAAGAAGTTGTAGAAAGTAGAGACGATGCCAAACGCCATTTGAAGAGACGTAATAGCTCTTCAAGATAAAAGGTACATTTATATCTTCAGCACTGTAGAACTTCACCAGCTCCACGGCAAAGTCGCTCTAAAACTGCTTGTTGAATTCGTACAGTATCGAATATTGGCTAAATACTTGAAGTATCAAAGGCTGGGCTTCATAGACAGACACACCGGCAACGCAAAGACACAGTTATAATTTGTCTCAACGATCGTATTGACATGCGTTGCGAGGTCGAGATAAGGGCCTTCTTGACACACTGCTCGTTATATAGCTAGATAATCGATAGCGAGTGATAATGAAATGAAAACTAATAGTTATGGACAACATAAAGGCCCTTACATGGAGGGATTCTTCAGGGCTTTTTCTAGGCTAAGCGGGTGAATAAATAGGCGAACAAACAGATAGAACGAAAGCAAGAAAGAAAATTAAAGATCAGGCATCGTAGAAATCACGATACTTCAAATGTTTACCATCGGAGTGAATAGTTTTGTAGTTCAACGCAGACAGCACGTTTTGACGTTACTGAATAACCGCTGGCCATTGAGCGACCGCGATTGTGGACACCGTCGCAGCGGGCAGTCACGGAATTTTCTGTTTCGTATTCATCCTCAAACAAAGTGCTGTGCATCGCCTGGGAAACTGAAAAATCCAAACCGCTAAACGGAAGCCTATTCCCTATCTATCGAACGCGAAGAACATGTCTTGATCTTCTGTGTTCTTCATCTCCTCGTCGGGTCTCGTGAGCTCTCACATGCTGAACACGCCCCAGTCAGCAAAGTCTATTTTTTTAAAACAAATACTTTGTTCTTTGTACTGATGGCATTTTCGCGATGCGCGCAACGCGATATACACTCACGAGTATAAAGTAAAACAGAAAGACACCCAACGTGAAGTTCGCAGCGAACAACGGACACCGAATATACCCGATGAAGGACAACAGCAACAACAACAATATGACAGCAAGCAAACGCCTAAAATAAAGGACGCAAAGCCCGAAAAAACAGTGAGTTCGCTTATATTGTTGTCTAGTCATCGTTGGACAATGCCGCGGAGGTGCTCAAGCGCCCAAAGCACGAAGGACGATTGAGAGCTCTTCAGACAGGTGACACAGTCAGTTATCGAGACGAGGAGATAGTGCAGACGCCATTGCCTTCTCGAGCCAAATATCCACTGCTAATACGATTCCCAGAGGCAACAATGCTTAGCTCATGTAGACAAAACGGGACATCGTGTGTCTCCGCGAAAGCCAGAGGAAAGAGATTACGGGACAATTATCACATCGCTTTTGATCAGGTAATGTCGAAACGCGAAGAGCAAGACAAGAAATGGAGTCAACGATGATGTTTCTACAGGTAAACGAGATCCAATGTAATGTTTAGATTTGCTTCTTGTGCCTATCCCTGTTGATCCTGTACGCATCATGTTTCAGCTTTCGTAGATCTACTTTTTGTAACCTACTGTTGTTCTGCGGCTAGGTGAAACTATGGGGTAGCAGCCTTATTACGAGTCAAAGGAAGGCTTCACTGCAAGTCTCGCTTGCTCGTTCCGGGTTCGTATCACTATTGCTCGTGATGTAGTTGAGTTCGCCAAAATCTACCTGCCCCCCGATTCACAGCCATGCGTATCAAGCTTCTCTGTTACATCAACAGAACGAAAGAAGGAAAAACACACCCTGGACGACTCGAGAAACAGATGTCTGGGGCGTCCAGTCGATCGCGTCGCTGCACTACCGTTGGCAGCGTCAATCGCAGCGGCGGAAAAACAAACTAGCAGAAGCAGCCGACATCTACTAAAATGTTGGTCGTTCCGTTCATGCGATCTCTTTGCACCCATTCACATACCCGTCTGCAGCCAACTGTCTGCACCTTTACGTGAGCATCGAATTAAGGGGCCGGTACGCGACTGAATTGTATTGTGCTTTCGTCGACAAAATTGCGATTGAGCCTGAAACCAATTTAGCACGCGAGTTCAGCGGCTGGGGCACGTCCCAACTACACAACAAAAGGTAACAACAGCTAATGCCTAGAGCTGAACGTCAAACAAACATGCGATATTATTAAGTATTGATCGTATCGGCAATGATTACGGTGTAGCAAATTGTCCTTTGCATTAAGTTTGCGCTTGAATGATTTCTCCGTCCGTATAGAGATCAGGAGACAATCATTACCTATTGCCAGTATGCGCAGATCAATAAGGGATCACTGACAAGCTAACGTTCCAACGAAGACGTTTTCGGCCGAAGATGTCCCTATCGAAAAACTTCTTTCGGTCTGATAAACACACGATCACTTGTATACGCAGATAGATTTAAGTAAGCCTATTCGTAATAAGTCGGTTACCAGCGCGAGCTAAAAAGCTCCGTCTGTAGCGAAACGTAGTGACTGGTTAAACGGTTACTTTTTAGCCGTCTACTCGTTAGCTCACACAGCCAATTACAAACAAAAATACCCATCGTCATAATGGGTCAGGTTTGTAAAGGGTCTATTCGCTTACTTGGAGAACTTAAGCAACTTCTTTAGCAGTCCCACACTCAGCGTAGCTTTTATCATATTTTGTCAATGTCGATCGTTCTAATACGGTTAATGAAACTGAACTGGGTAAACACGCAAGAGATAAATACTACTGTCGTTTGCGGATGCAGCCGTTGCAGACAGCTCACCGAGGGCGACGATGCCGGCGATCATTGCACTTCCTTTGGTCGTCGACAATGGTGATATTTTGTGCTACGAACCATCCTCACCGGACGTTACTAACAAGTTCAACCACCTTTCTCAACGCTTCATCCTTCCCCGTTGATTGGGGGCGGAGATCTCTAGCAAATACTAGAAGTAACAATAGTTGAGGCAATAGCCGTATAGCAACGACAGTCGCTCGGAAGGAAACGTTTGCGCGGAGAACTCTCTAGGAACTAGCAGGCGGAAAGAAGCAGAAAAAAGAAAGCTTAACGAAGGAGAACAATCACAGGGGCTTTATGGGGTACTTATAACGGTCGTGCTGGTGACGACTTGCTCGCGTGTGTCCACATCTGCATCAGCGCAAATCCCATCATGCCGGCCGCAGTGTGACAAAGCGGATGGAACTTTTTGTGTCAATAAATGGCCTATACCAGACGTATAATGCGAACGGATAATATCGCTTCTTCATAACACTTGTTGTTGTTGTTATCGTAGTGGGCTTCGGCTGACTCAAAGCCAGTCAGTCAGTCGCCTAATCACAGAACAGAGTAGTTGCTGCTTCAGAGTCGACCATTATCGTCGTATCACCGGTTCGTCGCTGCCGCTCCCGCCGAACGGCCCGTCAAGGAACGGACAGCAACAAAACGATGGAGGCTTAAGCGAATAGCGTTAGCAACAAGTCCAACTACGATAACTATAACAGAGGAGTCGAAGCTGTTATTTAGGCGAAATAGAAGAAGGCTTGAAAAGACCGCGCAGCGACAGCAACAGCAACGGCAATAACACAACGGAGGGAAAAATGATGACGGATGAGACGATGGGCGATGAGTACCTCCTAATAGTCGGGCAACCAATAGAACACGACTTAAACATGGATTCCAATTCGTATAGGATGATAACTAAAAGGAGAAAACGCAGCGGAGTAGAGCAGGAAGGGCCTAGAAATGTCGACTTGTTGCAACTGCCATACCTAACGTACCACATATTGTGGACGTGAAGTTAGCTTTAGAAAGCGCTAGCTACATCCATCTTAGAACAGCCGCTGGGCGACACTGGTTCGAAGAGTATACTTACGCAAAGGCGTCTTTGTTCACACATCGATCCCCAGACCTTGAAGTTTTTGTAGAAAAGGTTGCACGTGTCCCAACACTGAAATGAATGAAATGGCCAAACCACGTTAGATACGAACACTGCGTTGAGGCTTCGCTTCGTAGAGACGCCAAAACTAGCGCTATTAGAAGCATAGTTTTGTCATTGTGATAATGTTCGTTCCGATTTGGTCGAGTGTGAAATTCTTACTCGCTAGGTCGTCTGGGAACGTGTCTCTCAACAATTCGGGCCGAGCGACCCGGTTTAGATATATAGCCCGATCATAGCCATAATAGTAGATGCACAATAACGAGCCAACTGTCGCACTGGGATGAGCCAGAGTGTCTTTATCCGGGCCTGATTTTGGTTTAGACATCGGACGGAGTCAACCAGGCGTATTATTGGTGCAAGCTGCATTGTAGGACGCCATTTGGCGCGACAATCTAGCAAGCATTTAGGGCGACCGTGCATCGTGAGTGTTGCATTGTGCCGAGCGTCGAAACGCCCGTCGGCGTTGCGAGCAGCTGAGCCAACGAAGAGGTAACGCGATCCAGCTAAGAGATCGCTCTGCCTGCTGCTACCTTAATCGTTTTTGATAGGTAAGAAAGATTGCATACTCGGAACGTTCATTCTGTATGTATAAATGCCTACATATATATTTTCGATGCGAAAGTCGCCAACGGAACACTACTCTGATTAGCTGAGTACAAATCTATCTTCCTCAGAATGATCAAAAAACAGGCTGCCGCGGATGGCCGTGGCCGAATTTCGATACGTTCTAGCTCATTGCACTTCGTCCACAGCGGTATGGGCAGCTTGTGTTATTCTTTTCAAAGGAAGACAGTGCCGCGACACGTCTCTACGGCTAAAAGCTTTTGCTTGCTATCCTATAGGTGCATGTGTACGATATATTGGCAGAATTGCTATTCAAGCGTAGATCAGAGCTGAGAAGAAAATAATGCACAAATTTCACACTTGACCGAATATAAAATGAAAAGGCGATAATACGAATATCTATGCCGTGTTGAAACGTTGACGCCGTGGGGATTTCGAAATCTGATCGTAAGTCTTTGTGGGCTGCAAGTGTGAAGATGTAGGTCTAGGGAAAAAGTATGCTCTCTTACCATGAGGCAGTCGTTGATATTGAAGCAAGTCTCCTTCGATCCGTCCAGGTGAAACTGGAAGAGAGAGAAGATAACAAAAATATATTAGCTTTTCTATCTCCTCAGGCTAAGTATTCGCTGGTTCTGCATGAGAGATCTTTTTTCGTTGTCCGGCATCAGATGACGCCCCACTTTCTAGCGGTCCGATGATCCGTCCACGTTGGTTGGAAACACCGTCTAAATCCAGATCACATTTACATGGGCGCAGATTTCGATGGGCCGCACATCATCCTCCTTAGACGTGAATCGATGTGTATGTTATTAGAACTTACGTTGTTCGGAATAGGGAGGGCTTTGCTGGCCGAAAAATTAAGCAGCTTACAATCAGAAGCCATAAAAGAACGCTACTTTTTATACAGGCGATGGGATTCGAGGGTGGGCGACGTATCTCAGTCTTGGTCACCAGCTCGGTAGTTTTCCGGAAAGCAATGAACGCGTACTCAAATTTCCACTAATTGGTTGACGAGACACATTATGCGACAAACCGTTCTACGAAATGAAGAAAATCAAATGCAAGAGCTCGAGAGGTAACCGAACTAAACAAGGGGTACATTCATTTACTCATGCGAAAGCGAAGACTCTGCTTATTCAATAACGGCTGCAAACATTTACTCAGTTGTCAAAACCCGGACGAGAGATGAATCTTAGGAGGAAAAAATGAGCTGAATGCAAATTGTCACAGTCGGACGACAGCGGACGATCTGAAATTTACAATGAAGACTGAAGTCGAAACTTCGTTCCTGACCCGACTTCGTTTGTAGCGGCGAGCACGGAGCCACGGCCAGCGGACGTTGCGCAAGTTCGTCAAAGCTGAAGCAGGTAGCGTATAATATAACGATAAGATCTAGTCTTTTGCCTGCGGGCACGATAGCAGTCGATGTTCAAGTGCGAACCCAAAAGTCGATCAGATAGCAGACAGCCAGATGGTGACCGCTAACTGGCTGAGCCGTGTTCTCGCTAACTTCTGTTTCCCGTATCTGCGGCTGCTGTTGTTATTGCGTCTACTTCAGTTGCTTCTTTAGTCGGTTTGTCGCTTGGCGCGGAAACAGCGCAGTTTGCTTTCTCCGACAAGCTAACAACAGCCATTTTACCTGGCGACCTTAAAAGTGAAAAGTAACAATAGAGCACTCCCATAAGCAGCGCTGACATAATAACAGCATCAAAATAATGGACTGTTTGCTGTTTACATTTGCTTAACGATACGGGCTAACTTAGCCCACTATCGGGAGCGACAACAAGACAGCCCGAAATAGAACGAGATAGAATGATTAAGTGCTACATTGGCCTGGCAATTCGCGCCGGCGACTAGCATCTCCCTGCCGGAATGGTAATACATAACATGAATAGCAGTTGAAGTTAGGTAGGGGACGAAAGCAGCGACAAGCGTCCTCTCCTTTCCTCGGGAAGAAATCGGAAGTGTCGGTACTTGGATAGGCAGCGGGTAAACAGACGGACACAATAAATGGATAACAATCACCGATCGAATGTGAACCGGACTAGTGGAGTAGCCGTAGACATGATTGTTGAGAACGGTCAGGGCTTACGTAATTTTTGCCGCTTGACAGAAAAAGAACTGGCAAAGAAAAGAAAAAATAGATATTTGCTGTCGTTCGCATATGGTTATTATTATCGTTTTTGTGTTCGTCATCGAAACAGCGGAACCCGTCGCCAGTGGTTATTCACGCAGAAGGAAACGAATTGGAGACTTTCGTAGAAACGCAGCGACTCAGACAGTGAATTTAGGTAAGGCGGTAGGTAATCTTGAGCCGAACAAATTTTACCCAGTCGTCTATTGTACCTCCTCTAGCACCGCCACAAGGTGGTAAAAAAGAACAACGTACAATGTAGACAAAAACCGACCGGCGCATTGTACGTATGACGTTCGTTAAAATTGGCAGAGCGTTTTTGGATCAATGAACATGGCCAAAGGTACGCGGCTGCATAAGGCTAAAAAAACTCAACGAGACCACCGGTGGAGACGCGAACAGATATGCGACAGCAGTAATCCATCGGATGATTATAATGACGAATGAGCCACTCGAACGTAAGGGGAAACTGCTAACAGAGAGCGCGACGCGTGACGCAACAAAAATAAAGAACGGCCACCAGTAGCTAAAGTTTATGAACATCGATATATTTGTTATATACACGTCTAAGATGCCATCACAGCGGCAGGATAAAACAGCCTATAGGCAAGGACCTCTCGGTTTGCGACAAACAAGCCAGTGAACATCTCGCAAAGTAATCAGCGTTCGGATAGCTGAAAGCGACTATTAAATACTACAAATCTTTTTCCTAATATGTACAATTAGAAGGTCTGATAATACTAAGAAGACGTTGCTGCGATAATACCTTATTGAGACATTGTGCTCGGCATCTAGCTGTCATTACGTGGGTCTTATCCTCAAACATGTCCTGAGCTACCGTAAGGCTTGTCAAAATTGCTCCACATAACACAAAACGTAGCATTGTTCTGCAATAGCTACTTCACTTTATGATCAATCAAGTCTACCAGTAGGTAATAGTAGGTATAGAAGTAAATAATTCCGAACACGGCCTAGTATGCACACACAAAAATTCAGTCGTAACAAACTGTGAAGGAACCCTCGGCGTCATCGGCTTTAAGAAAGGCGGGAAATTCGAAGAGAGGGCTGGCGGGTGAGGGTCAGCACGGCTGGGTGAGGAGGCACCGCATCAGAAGGAGGACGAGATGATCAATACTGAATAGCTCATTTACGGTTCACGTGTCGTTTGAATGAAGAGGAAATTAAATAGAAATTGAAGGGAGATAGTATCTGAGTGCCGATGCACAGCCACTGCTATAGATATGATTTTTAAAGGTGTATCTCTTTATCAATTCCGGGACGAGACACCGTTGATACATGAATCTAATGAAGTATTAGATCTAATTTTTATAGAATACATCCTGAGCTCTTGTCCTGAACCAGGCTTATAAATGAATCATATTTTAATAATTGCAAGACCTAGTTCGACTACATCATTAAACAGAGGATCTGGTATGAAGACAGATTAGGGATGTCGAATGCAACTACGGATGCTGAAAAGGGCTATAAAATTATAAGAAGCCCTTTAGTCTGTCTTTTAGTAGGGGCACTCTACAACAAAGCATATATTTCAAGTAGAAACAATCGTGAAATACTTAACTAACTATAATTCCGAGATCAATTTAGGAGACATTATGCACGCTGTCAACAGGTGCTTCATTCAGTTCGGGCGGAATCGGACATTTCAGCTCTGGTTTTGGGAACTGGTCTTTAGGGCTTTTTCAATGTCAACGAATTTCATATGCCAATGATCGCAAAAGATGCTCTGTATGTGCAAGATCTGCGGTATATAGTAGGTACGAAAGGACTTGCTACTGGAGTTCTTGAAGGGGCTCCTACAACGCTTGCCATGTGCGCCTGGATTCGTCGTGGAGAAGGATAACTTTCTTTTGTTGATCGGGCTTTTTCTGTTGAATTGGCCCATTCAATCAATTAAGCATTTTCTACCCTTTAGGACCCTTTCAGTCTCTCCAAATGCAAACCGCAGTTTTTTTGGGGTTAGAAATCTGGCTGAACTTTAAATTTAGACGTCTTTCTCGGAGTCAACCACTCCTTTGTTTGCTTTATATCGATGTCGAAATCCCACTTCTGGTCATCGGCGACGATTTTCTGTAGAAACCTGTGGCTGCATGTTGCTCGGTGTCGGGCGAGATGTTGAGAAGCTATGAGAACTCATGTTTCTTTGCGTTGCTGTCTCGGTTCATGGGATAACCGAGTTTCTGGTCTTCAAGTAAATCCCATTGATTTATATATCATAAATCGAAGATCTTTTTTTAGAAGTGCCTTTAGACTGTCCCTATCGAACTCAGGTGGCTGACCCGGGGCGGAGGGCATCCCATAGTTCCAAGATACCAATATTAAACTCTGCAGACCATATTCGCGGAGTCCTCTGAGGCTTGGAGTTGGCACAGATATCTGATGTTTTTTTAGCAGCAATTCTATTTTGGCTAAGGGCGGAATTAAAGTATGATTTTTTCGTCCGGAACCTCCATCGTTGGAACTTAGGCTCAAACTAGAATTCTACTGATAGCGTAATGAAATTTCAACGAAATTCTTCGGTAGAGAAAAGATTTATATATATATATATATATATATATATATATATATATATATATATTGTAGAGGTAAATAAGAAACGAGACAGAGGGAAAAAAATATAAAAAATTGCCCTTACTTGCCTTACAACTTAAGAAGTCTACTCATAGCTGTAAGTAAAGGATGGAATCGTTCGTCGTTTAGCTTCTTGTTTCCGGACGTTAACATGGCTGTCATTTCTTCAATATTTACTTTCTGTTGGCGATGGAGCCGGTATGACATCGTCAATAAGAATTACAGACGTGTGCTACATTCCGAATGATAAGTGGCACAGGCACAGACTTTAGCCAAATACTGATTTTTACTTTTTTTTTTTGTGCCACTCTTCCGCATAGCTAACAAAGGAAAACGAAATAACTGTATAATTACTGATCATCTCCATTCCTCCCATAATATTGCATTCTGTATTTTAACGTGCTTTCTCAATTGATTTAAATTCACTCCAACGAACATTCTAGTGGCGAAGTGCTTGCGTAAACTTAGTTAACTTGTCCTAATGAATTCTATTAGACAGCAGAGTTCGTCGTCATTTTCTTGTCATAATAGTCTTGAAACTGTCCTCAAGAACGCCATCGCCTTATTCAGGTGTAGGGCCTCTAACATAAATCGCTAATCTGCGTCGATACAACTTAGTATAGTAGACTTAGTAGATGCCAGGACTGAGCAGTCCTGGATCTATGGCCTATCCAATGCCGTTCATATGTCGCTTAATAAAAATAACTTTTGCCAGCCATCGAAGGATAATGATTGGGTCCACTGCTCGCGCATACAATAAATCGAAAAAAACTCTCAGAAGCCAGTATTAGAAGGTATGGATAATCTGTCAACCACTCTCTTGAACTATGCTACATAGCGTGGGGCTGAAAAAGCCCATAAATATTATCGTCTTTCCGTTTGCATACTGTTTTTGATTGATGCTAAGGTTAACAAAAGGAATGTCTGCTGCATGATAGACTGGCCTTTAAACCATGTTATTAGCAACAATCTAGCTGTTCATTATCTATCTTACGAAAATACTCAATCAGCTCGAACTAGGGATTTGCAAGATTACTTTCAGACACCTCGCAGAAAACTTGGAGATATCACAAGCGTCGTATCGAACCATCTTGAGAGGTCACCTAAAGACTTACGGCAAGGCTTGCGCCATGCACTCAGATTTAACTTACTGTAATTTTTTCTCTTTCCAAAGTTCAAGAAACATCTGAAAATAAGTATTTAACACAAAAACAAGTTTCGAGCAGACCTGAGCTACGATTACACTGTGTTAACACGAGTTTATTATATTTATGAACAATTTCAAAGGGAATTAAGATTTGGATGATGGAAGCATATGTAGTTTATACTGAATCTCATATTGAAATATATATATGTTGTCTGAAATACTACTAGAACAAAACGACAATTGGTGTCGTCTCGACCTAGGCCTACTTCTGAAACTATTAAGGTTTTCCAGCTGTGTAGATGGCTCTATTTTTCATTTTGAAGACTGCGTCCGATGGAACCTATGGAACTGATAAAGAGAGCTGAGTTGCCATCGAAAAGCTGATGGGATTACAAATTAATCCGTATTTGCCATAATGAGCTTCAATCCTCTAGCGCTAAACAATAAAATTAGACAGGATATTGAGATCTAATCAATGGAAAAATTGAGATTTAGGGCTTGTTCATCGATCATCCCGTAACGATATTAGGCCGTGTTCGGTACTGATATGTCAACCATTTCGTAAGTGAGCCTCTATTGTGACTTGAAACGGGTACAGCTTTACTTTACAGCATTGACTCAGACATATTTTTAATTACGTTTTGCTAACATAAACGTATTTCGTTCGGATCATCATTCCATAATCCCATTTGTGACCTACCATGTTGATCACGATTAAGCCTATCGTTTACCATATGATTTTCCGCTTCTATATCTCTTTTATTTATCTTACGAGCCGGCTTCTGTTGTGGCGTTAAACGGCATTAGCCGTCGCCAACAGCAGACGTATCTGTATATCGTCTCACAAGTGGCCTGAAAAACCTTATGATCCTTACTCGAGAGCAGGCAAACATTTTCTATGCCGATAAATATAAACATCTTCAGATCATTTTAATTTCGAAAATATTGAGAGGATTTTTTAGCTGTTTCTGTTAAACTTATCGCCTGTTGTGCATCTCTCATGTTTGTGACCTGTGTCAATTTTGCTCAGGTTAACTCTCAAGATCTTGTTGGATATTTAGTTGGTCTTTAAGGCAGATATATTGTACGATTCGTGAACATAACGTAGGACATAAATAGTTGTTTCCGATTGACCAGGGAAGTATTGTATGGGATAAACACTACGGGTTACTGCCCTATATATCATAAATTATTTAACCCATTTGAAACGATTCAAATTTATGTGATCTTTATCAACGTTTCGCCTATATATAGGTAATTAATAAGCTACATCTAACATTAATGTCAATAGACGATTATTCGTTTTACCATTTATCTGCGTAGACAGCCTGCTAGCGACAGCCTGGAATATTAATGCTAAGTCAGGCTTTATAAAAATATCTATCTCTTATAATATTTGCTGATCATCCATTTTTTTAACCGAAAATAACAACTATAATCCACTGTCATATGTTTTATGATATAGGTCGTTTTGGTTAAACGAGTTCAAAGCAGTGAGAACAAGTTCATTTGTCGACATAACAAGATTTGTCCTTTAGTAAGTAGTTTGGAGCAGGCACCCGCCACAGCCGAGCGTAAGATTTAAGTTTATATCAAGCGCGCCTTATTCCCTAACATGAACCAATGCATCAGAGTCGTACTAAGATCGTTTTCGGTGGCAAAGGTGAAGCCATCTCGAAACATTTCAATGCAAACTTTAACTTAAATTCCGGTCTTATTCTTCGAGCGACACCTGCGTATATCCGTTTCGAAGAAATATGACTTTCAGGCCAAGGATGGCATTAAATGTATAATGTAACTTCGACGAAAACCGGCGCTTTTTGTGCTTTATGACAAACACCTATTAGCCTACAAGTGGCCGTACCGCAAAGATATTTGTGTGGCACTGCGATTGATGCAGTGATATTGGGCCGCTCTAGCTGCCCCATTCAATCGTCGCGTCATCTCTATTGTAGTTTTCGGGTCGTCCCCGACAATGCAGCTCACCGTCAGTCGAGCGCTGATTGGTTTCCTCTTAACCTGTTTCACTCTTTCTCCTCGACCGATCTGAACAGACGAAATTTGTCAGAGTAGCTTTTGCGTTGAAGCACTAGTGCAAAGTTTTTAGGGGTACACTCAAGCACTGCGTCGTATGCAGCGCAGCGATTATGTCCGCACGCGGGCCAAGATCGAATTTATTTGAGCCTATCCCTGGTGTTGAAAGGGTGTCAAATAGTATTCTGTG